TTCATTTTTGTGGCACCCCCTGTATATATTCATGAAAGATCAAGAATGAGTGTGCAGAAGGTTGAGATGCCTTGCCTCATTTCCAAAGCTGGGCTAGTTCTAAAAGCCAGAACTCACGGACTAAAAGGGAGCCCAAATTCCCATGAAGAAGGACCCCGCAACACTGTGCTAAGTGTGTACAGGAGTGATTTCCCCCGTTCTTTTCCGGAGGACCTGTCCTTGTTCACTTACCTAACCAGGATCTTTTAAGTTCTGTTGGAGACAAGATCTGAGTTGACACTGATAGCTGGGACAGAAAGCATGCTGTTGACACCTGCGTTAGAAAGGTCAGAGGGTGTCTGGTAATAGATGGAGTTCTAGACCTGGCATGTCTCAAAATGGTCCATCTGGTGGTCATTTCCTGGGTTCCTGAAATATTAATTGGATTGGACATGTTTAGCAGAAGATAAAACCTTTACATTAGTTCTTTGACCTATAAAATAAGAACGGTTGAATAAGGCAGGCCAACAGAATGCCCTCAAAGTCCCCTCTCTCCCCCAAGATCATGAATCAAAACCAATATTGTATTCCAAGGAGGGTGGCAAATATTAGTACCATCTAACTGGTTTAAAAGATACCAAGTGGTGATTCCTGTCATTATATGGGACAAGTGGTTCGTGTCCTACATAATTCACCAGTTTGTTCCTTGCTAAGCCTAGGTGTATCATGGTGATGACAACAGACTACTACAAATTGACCAAATAGCATTCTCAATTGTAGTTACTATGCCAGCCGTCATGTATATAGTATTTACTGGAGCAGATTAGCATAGCCTTGGGTAAATGGTATGTAGCTATTGATCTGGTGAATGCATTCTTTTTTTTTTTTTTAATCCATCAACAAGGAAGATTAAACATGGTTGGCATTCTTATGAAACAGACAGCAATGTATATTCACTCTCTTGTCTCAGGGAGACTGTTAATTCTCTGTTTATAATCCAGTCCAAAGTGTCCTAGGCTCTCAAGATATCCTAGAAAACATCAGAATTGGCCACTGGATTATTGCTCTGGTGTTCATTGGACCAATGAGAAGAACTGACAAATACTCTGGAAATGCTTTCTAGACAGTGGATGACAAGGAGACGTAGGGCACTAATGGCCTAGGAATAGGGCCTCCTCAGGATGTGTTGCTGCTCCTTGTACCTGCGGTCATCAAGAAAGAAGCATAGCATTTATTTGGTTTCTTTGGGTTCTGGAGGCTGCATATTCCATTCTTGAAAAATTCTGTTATAATCTGTTTATCAGGTGACATCAGAAGGCTCCTAACATGAATGGCACAAGCTAGGTCAGCCCACCAGGCAAGGAAATCACCTAGACCGGCAGAAGGGCTAGCTAAATACGAGGGGGCTGTAGAATAGGTGAGGGAGGGAGAAAAATATGATAATAGTCATGGTCTTGGGTACATGTAGCAGGGCTATGGCTCATCCTATTAACCCTCCTTGTGTCATCTCCCAGGAAACTGTGACCTATCAGAACCCTGGAGCTGCCCTGTCTGGATGGAATAAACTTAGTGGGGAAAAGGCAGTGGATCAGAGCTGTGCAAAAGGCAGACCACAGGAGATTCTGTTGGTGCCCAGCCCAGCTGCCCTCGACCCTCTCTGAGTCCTGGCCACCTGACCTGGAAGATTACAGCATCTGGCTTCTGGGAGCTGACCTCAGCCGGTGACTGTCAACTGGGGGGCAAAGGTCCTGAAGCTGGGATGACCTCTGTGGTGGATTCAGTGCCATTGATCAGCACTTGCTTGTGGGATCCATCTGAAGCTGCTTCTAGCTGAGACCACATTTTACTGAGCTCCTCACTGCACTCGCCCCTCATGCCTAGGAGTTCATCCTCCTATGAATCACTTGAGCAAGAATCCCTACTTGTGCTCGCTTTGGCAGCACATATACTAAAATTGGAACGATACAGAGATTAGCATGGCCCCTGCGCAAGGATGACATGCAAATTTCTGAAGCGTTCCATATTTTAGAAAAAAAAAAAGAATCCCTACTCATGGTCTGCTTCTAGACAATATATACGTTCATGTGTATGTGTGTTTGTGTGTATTTATTTTCCCATTTATTTTTTATTTGTATTTAATTGTTTAACACAATACCTTTCTCCAAGGCCACCACCATCCCTTGTATTCCTCACAAACCCAGTGGTCACATTGGCACTCCCTGAGTCATGTTTACTGACTAAAGATCTTCAGATGTTCAAGCCCAAATCGCCTATCGCTTCTCAGACCTCAGTTGACTCATTCCAACCTACAAGTTTTGAAGGATGGAGGATTTTGCACTAGGAAAATTTTGGCAGGTGGAATCACATCGCATAAGTAAGTTTAATTTCCTAAATTTCAGCATAGAAAGTTGGGTGGGGGCTTTTATTTACTTTTGGCCTTCTCTTCCAGAGCTCAAAAATCGAAGAGGAAATAAAAGGAATTAATTTTTGGCTCTTGAGTTTCCCAAAGCCCAGCTCTTAGAGATATTAAAGATTTTCAAGGAGAATTTTGACAATCTTTGTTTTCACCTTGCATGTTTGATTTTAAGGCCGGCTCTCCTGTTTAAGATAAAACTCAACTGCAATCAACTATTGAATTTATAACCTGGACTCTTCTTTTGAAATCAAGTTTCCTCGCTTTGGTCTGAATTAGTGAAGTTTCACTAAATGTGGACAGCAAATGAATTGCAAATTATATGTAAATGTGCATAAATTAGTACCAGTTATTAGAATAATTTGCATCGACAGCTCTATAATTAGGCAGCAACCTGGGAGAGAAGGGCAGTGGGCAAGGGACCCAGGAAGCTGGGAAGGCAGCCCAGAAGGCCTGGGGTCCCCACCTCTATGTTAATGAGGGTCAGTTTTCCCTTCCCTGGGCCCCTTAAGCTCAAGACCTTGGGGGTTTAAAACCCAGACCCTGGCTTTCTAATTTCTGGGTCTTGCTAAGGCTCCTTGTTGGTGCTGCGCAGGATTTGGCTTTTCCTGTTCATTGCAGCACAGGGAGAAGTCACGGGATTGTGGAGTGTAGAAGTCTCTGGTCTATTGCTTTCAGAGTGACTTTAGCCAAATCACTCTCTGATCCTCACTTCGCTCCTCTGAAAAATGGGATTTGTAACACCTAGTTGCCCCATGCTGTCACTGGGTACTGTGGGGTTTGCAAGAGATGATGTATGTGAACTTTGCAGCCTTCCACATGCATTTGATATTCTTATGCTATCTGAGCTCATCTAGCTGATATGTGGGACACCCAGGATTTAAACGCAGGTCTGACTGACTTCATAGCCCCTTACATCCCCGTCCCCTTTGGCCCCGGTGGGAAGCATGCACCAGGGACAGTTCATTCCCACACCACCTACTCTCCTGGCCCTGCTTGGCTTCCTGCTTCTTGTGGCTGAGGTCTCTTGAGGCCAAGGACAGTCCCCTCCCTCATGCCTTTTGTATCCTGCCACAATACACCTGAAGAACATGCTTCAGTGAGTGCCTAGTTTTTGAAATCTCTGTTTATGGGCTTATTTAGGGTGTTTCCCTCTCTTTCTACCTTTAGTCTCAAGCAATAAAGCAAGCACAGAGTCCTCACTCCCTTCTCGGTAGCCCCCCTTGGATGGCCCTCCTTGGGTAGCCCACCCTCGAGGTGATGAAAGCAGCCACTGGGCATAGGAAGCTGGATGAGCGTGTGATGAAACAATGACCACCAACTTGCCTTTGGAACCACTCAGATGGATTTCCCTTTTAGCACGTCTGCTATCTTCATATGCCATGAAGATATGCGTCCATGCCCTGAACCCAGCCGGGAGGGTGATCAGTGGCTGAGGGAAATTCCTAAGGGCTGTTAGTCATTCCTGGGAAGACCCGGGAGGTGGCAGCACCCACCACAGACCCGAAACCAGAAAGTCAGCATTTAGTTTCAGAATAAGGGACTGACCCCTGCTCTGGGGCCTTGTATCTTCACAAGATGACTGCGAGGAGGACATAAGATTTGAGATGCAAAAGACATCTGCTGTTATTTCATTATTATCAAGAGCACCCAGCACAGACCAATCAGATCTTCCTTTCTGTTCATTCCTCCATCTCCCAACACACGCACTGCAGGCTGCTTGCGCAGAACTGCTGGTCATTCCCACTATCATCACTTAGACGGCCATCTCTTTCCTGAATGGCTTTTCCCACCCCATTCCTGGCCAACATCCACTGACTAATTCACCTACTCAACACATGGCCGTTTATTGGGCATCTACTATACGCCAACCACTATGATGGCTGCCAGGGGCACAATGGTGAGTGACACAAAGATGGTCCCTTTCCTCAAGGAGCTTATATTTTCTGTTCTATTTCACATTCAGCTTAAACATAATGACGGCCTTCTTGGATATCTATTCTCCCTTCATGGATTCACATGCCCCCTCCTTTGCACCCCACTGGTACCTAGAGGTCTTCAATCCTAGGGCCTCAACATTGCACTAACTCCTGGACACTCTGCCCCCTCCCTCCTCTTTCTTTCCTCTCCCACCTTCCCTCCCTCCCTCCCTCCTACCAGTAGCCATCTTCTTTGTCCTTCCTTGGAATTTATGAGGCCAATCCTTGAAATGAGAAGGTAACTACTTTCAAACAGATAAAAGAAAGCCCTTCTTTTCCCAGCAGATAATTAATTTGTGTCACTTGCTGGTCATGGAACATAATTGAGGCCAAGGGCTTAAGGAGGCCCTGAGAAGGAATTAGACACGTACTCGCACCAGGGGGAATGTATCACTCACTCTGCTCCCCTGTCCCTGGAGGGCCAGGTTAGATAGCCCTGCCCTGAGTGGGGTAGCAAAGAGCCTCTCAGCCTATTAGGAGGCCCTGGGCAGGTATAGTGTTCACTTGCCACCTGCTGAGCAGAGATGCAGCTACCTGCCACCAGATGTGTGTGCCCAAAGGGTGGATGCACAATAAATCTGAAGCCTCTGATTCAAGTCCTAGCTTTGCCATCTTACTAGCCAGATGATTCAGACAAATTCTTTAACCTCTTAAGCCTCCAGTTCCTTAAAACCCAGAACGTCTTCGTGTTACTCCTCCCTGGCCTGCTGAGAGGCTTGGGAATTACAGCAAGCCCAGCAGCTCGGCAAGCTGTGGAGTGTGAAGGATTGAGCGCTTTGTGAATCTTCTCTATTTCTTACCTCTGGGCAGAATGAAAGGCTGGGCACTGGGGGAGAGAGGGCGTCTCCCTCCAAGCTGCAAATCTACTGCTGCTGCCATTGATTTTAGCTAAAAGGAGCATCTGGCTGGCATAGGGCGATCTCAGGTGAGGTCCTGGGAGCAGAAGCGATCTCAGCATCCCTGAGTCCCAGGCCTGCAGCCAGCACTAACCAGTGGGGAGATATGGCGAGTTCTTTTCTTTTCTTGACTCTAAGTTTTTTCATCTGCAAATTGGGCACTGGGGGTTGGAGCAGAGAGAATTGAACCAGGTCATGATTTCTTCCAGTCTATTCCTCAGAATGTGA